CCTCCTGGGTTCAGGCAATTCTCCTGCCTCAGCCTCCTGAGTAGCTGGGATTACAGGCATTCGCCTCCATGCCCAGCTGATTTTTTGTATTTTTAGTAGAGACGGGGTTTCACTATGTTGTCCAGGATGGTCTCGATCTCTTGACCTCGTGATCCACCTGCCTCGGCCTCCCAAAGTGCTGGGATTACAGGCTTGAGCCACCGCACCCAGCCAGATAGTGCAGTTTGAGTCCACACTCTTCATCAGCACCCACTTCCCCTCCGTAGGCCTGAGCAGGCACGTGGCAACATTTGGTAGAGGAGGGAGTGAGTCCTGCTATGGAAACTATATATGTTGGTGAGTTATTTGTCCCTAACCCCCAGGGGCGTCACTGCTTCCAGTAGAAGAAATACTGAGACTAAGCAGTCTCAGAACATTTTCAGGCTCAGCAAGATGATTCTTTACTATTTGGTGGTGCTTGTGTGAGGTTTTCTTTTTCTCCCTGCCTAGTGTTAAAACTCCCTCTGTGTAAGGGCTTTGGTTGGTTCTTATCCTCCATGGCAGCCAGCCTGGGATACGGACAGTAATAGGTGCTTAAGTGATGCTGGCTGGGCAGAGATAGGAGAATAATGGTCTTTGACCCCTTGGTGCCAAGGTCACAATCCAAAGTAGGGTCTAGAAATCTTTCCTACTTCCCTGAGGGAAGGCTTTTAACCTCTCATTCTTTTTTTTTTGGGTCAGAGTTTTGCTCTTGTTGCCCAGGCGAGAGTGCAGCGGTGCAATCTTGGCTCACTGCAACCTCCACTTTCTGGGTTCAAGTGATTCCCCTGCCTCAGCCTCCCAAGTAGCTGGGATTACAGGCGCCTGCCACCATGCTGGGCTCATTTCGTATTTTTAGTAGAGACGGGGTTAATCCATGTTGGTCAGGCTGATCTCGAACTCCTCACCTCAGGTGGTCTGCCCGCCCTGGCCTCCCAAAGTGCTGCGATTACAAGCATGAGCCACTGCGCCTGGCCTTGACCTCTCTTCTAAACTGTGGGAAAGACAGGCTCCTGGATGAACAGAGGTATGTTTTGTGTTAAAGGCATTTGCGGCATTCAGGGATGTGGCTGTGGACTTCACCCAGGAGGAGTGGAGGTTGTTGAGCCCTGCTCAGAGGACCCTGCACAGGGAGGTGATGCTGGAAACCTATAACCACCTGGTCTCACTGGGTAAGAATGGCCTCCCTTGGCACTTAACGTCAGTCCTACATAGTATTCCCGACTCTGAGGAAGGGCCACCTGTGAAGCACCTTTGCCTTAGAATTGGGCTTAAAACAATTTACCTTTTTCCTCTGGGTAAATCTGGATTTAGTAGAATTGAAAGCAGATAGATTGATTTATTCATGTTATGGATAACACTGCATTTCCAGGCCCCTTTCCCAAGGCTTGAGGGCGCTGTCTTTACTTTATTTTGCTCCAAACCCAGGAGATGTTCATCCACCAACTGTTAGTAATATGCTGTTTTTCTGATTGGAGTCACCGTTCCTTAGTTAACCCTTCTACTTCAGAGAGAGAACTGTTCATTGGTCTTTTGTATCCTCTGCGTTTCCTCACCCATTTAGCTCTGAGTTCTCGAATGGCCTCTTGAGCCCATAATTCTCTTCTCTATGAGCAGAAATTGCATCTTCCAAACCAAAACTCATTGCTCAGCTGGAGCGAGGGGAAGAGCCCTGGAGAGAGAAGAGAAAATGTTCTCTGGACCTCCGTCCTGGTGAGTGTCAGTGTGGGGTTGATGGGATAGTCTACAGCTTGGCAGCTAGGGAAGGAGGAGACATCTCTCAGATACTGGGAAGAAGCTCTTCTCCAGGCCTCCTAAGCCAAGGGGAAGGTTGCCTGACATGGCCTTCCTTCCGGAACATAATCTTCAATTGAGGGAGGGACTTCCCTGGTTTCCTTGTCTCTTCCCTGGTTTCCTTGTCTCTTCCCTATACCAGGAAGCCTCCCTTCCTCACTTGGCTTCTCCATAATGCCTAGTCTTTTCTCATTCATAGTCTTCTTTCTCACCTGATCTTAAAAACTGTATCTCCCCTTGCCGAGGGCCGTGGCTCACGCCTGTAATCCCAGCACTTTGGGAGGCCGAGGAGGGCAGATCATGGGATCAGGAGTTTGAGACCATCCTGACCAACATGCTGAAACCCCATCTCTACTAAAACTACAAAAATTAGCCGGGTGTGGTGGTGTGTGCCTGTAATGCCAGCTACTCAGGAGGCTGAGGCAGGAGAATCACTCAAACCCAGGAGGCGGAGGTTGCAGTGAGCCGAGATTGCGCCACTGAACTCCAGCGTGGGTGACAGAGTGAGACTCTGTCTCAAAAAAAAAAACCAAACAAACAAACCTGCATCTACCTTATGAATATTAAGTCTACAACCCTTCTAGATACTTTCTAGTGTCTAGAAATTATTTGTATGCTAAGATTACCACCATATCTCCACTTCCCATAACTTATTACACAATACTTAAGCTATGACTAATAATAAAATACATACTCATGTGCCAATGCCCCAGCTTAAGAAATAAAAAATTACCTAAACAGTCAAAGCCCCCATTTCCCCTTCCCTGATGGTATCCTATACCCGTCCCTCCAAGGGAATTGTTTTGCAGTATTAGGGACTTATAATTCTCATGCCTGGCTTTATTCTTTCCTTCATACGTATGAATCACTAAATCATCTGTATTGGTGGAATATTTTAAAATTCTATATCAGTGTCTTCATATTATGTGCATTCTTCTGTACTTTGCTTTTTTTTGTTGTTTTTAAATTGAGATGGAGTCTTGCTTTGTTGCCCAGACTGGAGTGCAGTGGCTCAATCTCGGCTCACTACCACCTCTGCCTCCCGGGTTCAAGCGATTCTCCTGCCTCAGCCTCCTGACTAGTTGGGCCTACAGGCACGTGCTACCATGCTTGGCTAATTTTTATATTTTTAGTAGAGATGGGGTTTCATTATGTTGGCCAGGCTGGCCTCGAATTCCTGGCCTCATAATCCACCTGCCTCAGCCTCCCAAAGTGCTGGGTGGCGTGAGCCACCATAACTGGCTATAGTTTGCTTTCTTCACCGATGCTAATTTTGTACTATGTTGGTATATGTAGCTCTGCTTCATTCATGTTATGGCTATATAATATTGTATTATATGCATAATTATAATACAATTCATTTATCCATTCCATTTTTGTTGGACAGTTACATTTTTACCAGTGTATTCTTTTGACCAATTAAAGAATGCTGCTGTGGGCCGGTTGCGGTGGCTTACACTTGTAATCCCAGCACTCTGGGAGGCCGAGGTGGGCGGATCATGAGGTCAAGAGGTCGAGACCATCCTGGCCAACATGATGAAACCGTCTCTACTAAAGATACAAACATCAGCTGGGTGTGATGGCATGCGCCTGTGGTCCCAGCTACTTGGGAGGCTGAGGCCGAAGAATTGCTTGAACCCAGGAAGTGGAGGTTTCAGTGAGCCGAGATTGCACCACTGCACTCCAGCCTGGTGACAGAGCAAGACTCTGTCTCAAAAAAAGAAAAAAAAAGAATGCTGCTGTGAATGTTCTGATAGACGTGCCCTTGGGCACATAAACTCTTGTTTATCTAGGGTATGTACCTAGGAGTAGAACAGCTGAGTGAAAGAATGTGCACCTGTTCAGTCTGATAAGGTAATGCCAAACTATTCTCCAAAGTTGTTGCATTAGTGTTCTAGGGCTGCCACAGCAAAGTACCACACACTGAGTGGCTTAAGCAACAGATGTTTGTTTGTTTATTTATTTTGAGACAGAGTTTCACTCTTGTTGCCCAGGCTGGAGTGCGATGGCGCAACATTGGCTCACTGCAACCTCTGCCTCCTGGGTTCAAGCGATTCTCCTGCCTCAGCCTCCTGATTAGCTGGGATTACAGGCACACACCACCACAACTGGCTAATTTTTGTATTTTTTGGCAGAGACAGGGTTTCACCATGTTGGTCAGGCTAGTCTCGAACTCCTGACCTCAGGTGATCTGCCCACCTCAGCCTCCCAAAGTGCTGGGATTACAGGCATGAGCTACCACGCCTAGCCAAAGTTTATTTTCTCACAGTTCTGGAGGCTAGACATAGAGATCAAGGTGTTGGTAGGGTAGGTTCCCTTTGAGGGCTGTGAGGAAGAATCTGGCCCATGTCTGTCCCCTAGCTTCTGGTGGTTTGCTGGCAATCCTGGTGTGGAGGAGCAGTACCCCGATCCCTGCCTTCATCTTCATATAGCATTCTCCCTGTGTGTGTGTCTCTGTGTCCACATTTTCCTTGTTTGTGAGGACATTATTCATACTGGGTTAGGGCCCACTCTAATGACCTCATCTTAACTAATTACATCTGCAACTACCTTGTTTCCAAATAAGGTCACCTTTTGAGATATTAGGGGTTTGGACTCCAATATGTCATTTTTGAGGAAACAGAATTCAACCTGTAGCAATTGCTTATACTCACATAGCACTTTATCATATGAGGATTCTAGTTGCCCTGCGTCCTTGCTAATACTTTGTGTGGTCAGACTTTAGGTTTTGATCATTTTTGGGTATGAAATGGCCTCTCATAGTAGTTGTAATTTGCTTAGTATTGAGTTTGAGCATCCTTCTATATGTTCATTCATTGACTGGCCTTGGTATTTGCTCTTTTATGAAGACTTTTCAATTCCTTAGTTTTTTTCTTCTTGCTGATTTAAATTTTTTAAAATAAATCATTGAGTGATTTATTGAATGATTATCAGATGTTCCAATATTATCAGATGTTCCAATCTGTGGCTTACCTACTTGCTTTTATCTTTTTTGTTTTGTTTTGTTTTTTGAGACAGAGTTTTGCTGTGTCGCCTGGGCTGGAGTGCAGTGGCCCGATCTCGGCTCACTGCAACCTCCTACTGCTGGGTTCAAGCAATTCTCGTCTCAGCCTCTCGAGTAATTGGGATCACAGATGGCTGCCACCACACCTGGCTAATTTTTGTATTTTTAGTGGAGACGGAGTTTCACTGTGTTGACCAGGCTGGTCTTGAACTCCTGACCTTGTGATTCACCCACCTCAGCCTCCCAAAGTGCTGGGATTACAGGTGTGAGCCACTGAGCCTGGCCTCTTTATTTTATTGAGATGGAGTCTTGTTCTGTCACCCAGCCAGGAGTGCAGTGGCATGATCTTGGCTCACTGCAACTTCCGCCTCCCGGGTTCAAGTGATTCTTCTGTTTCAGCCTCCTGAGTAGCTGGGACTACAGGTGTGTGCCCACACGCCTGGCTAATTTTTGTATTTTTAGTAGAGACAGGGTTTCACCATGATAATGTTGAGTCTACCAATAAATTTTGGGGAGAATCACCATCTTAATAATATTGAGCCTTCCAATCTATGACTGTTTCTCTATTTATTTGGAACTTTAACTTCATTCAACAGTGTTAATTTTCTTTAAAAAAATCTTTCTTCTTGCCGGGTGTGGTGGCTTAGGCCTGTAATCCCAGCACTTTGGGAGGCCGAGGCAGGCAGATCACCTGAGGTCAGGAGTTTGTGACCAGCCTGACCAACATAGAGAAACCCCATCTCTACTAAAAATACAAAATTAGTTAGGTGTGGTGGCACATGCCTATTATCTCAGCTACTTGGGAGGCTGAGGCAGGAGAATTGCTTGAACCCAGGAGGCAGAGGTTGCAGTGAGATGGGATTGCACCATTGCACTCTAGCCTGGCCAACAAGAGCACAATTCCATCTCAAAAAAAAAAAAAAAAAAAAAAAAACTTTATTCTTTTCCTCCTTTCCTTTCCTTTTTCTCTTTTGCTTCTGTTTTTTCATCCCACTGTATTGCCCAAGCAGGCCTCAAACTTCTGGCCTCAAGCAATCCTCCCACCTCAGCCTCCCTAAGTGTTGGGATTCCAGAAGAGCCACCATGCCCAGCCTTAATTTTCAGTTTACCAACTTTGTGCTGCTTTGTCACATTTATTCCTTAGCATTTTATTATTTTTATGCTATTGTGAATAGTATTGTTTTCTCAGTTTCATTTTTAGAATAGTCATTGCTAATATATAGAAATACAATTATTTTTTTACATATTTATATTAGGGCCTAAGTACAATGATGACTTCTAGTTGCTTTCTTGAAATTTTATACATACAAAATTACATAATCTGCGAACAAGAGATTTTTTTACTTCTTTTCCAATTAAGATGCCTTTCATTTGTTTCCTCCTCATTTCATTTGTCCCCTCCTTCTTCTTTAGCATTTTGGCTGGAACATGAATCATATTATTTTCCCCACTTTACGTGTTGCGTCATCTTTCTCCTGCTGCATTCACAACTTGTCTTCATTCTCTCCACCTGTTTGACTATGATGTATCTAGCTGGGGATTTATTTATCTTACTTGGGATTTGTTGAGATTCTTGGATCAATGTTTTTCATTAAGTTTGGGACGTTCTTAGCCTTTTTTTGAGGGATTTTTTTTCTGCTCTTTACTCTCTCTTTTCTTCCTGAGTTCCCATTAGACATAGGTTGGTTGCCTGATGGCTTCCCACAGGTTTCTGGTGCTCTTTATTTCTCTTTAGTATTTTTTTTACTCTGTTCTTCAGTTTAATTTCTATTGCTGTGTCTTCAAGTTCGCTCATTCTGTTGCACGCTCAAATATGCTCTAGTAGTTTTTAAGGTTTGGTTGTTTTACTTCTTAATTACAGAATTTCTTTTGGTTTCTCTTTAACAGTTTCTTTCTTTGCTGATATTCTCTATTTGTTGAATCACTGTTATTATACTTTAATTTTTTTACACACTGTATGTGTTGCATTACTGTTCTTGCATTAGTATAAAGAAAGCTTTGGCCAGGCATGGTGGCTCATGCCTGTAATCCTAGCACATTGGGAGGCTGAAGCAGGTGGATCATGAGGTGAGATCAAGACCATCCTGGCCAACATGGTGAAACCCCGTATCTGCTAAAACTACAAAAACTAGCTGGGCATGGTTGCAGGCGCCTGTAGTACCAGCTGCTCCAGAGGCTGAAGCAGGAGAATCGCTTGAACCTGGGAGGCAGAGGTTGCAGTGAGCTGAGATCGTGCCACTGTACTCCAGCCTGCTGACAGAGAGAGACTCCATCTCAAAAAAAAAAAAAAAAAAAAAAAAAAAAAAAACCTGAGACTGGGTAATTTACAAACACAAGAGGTTTAATTGGCTCACAGTTCTGCAGGCTGTACAGGAAGCATGATGCTGGCATCTGCTCAGCTTCTGGGGAGGCCTCAGGAAACTTACAGTCTTGGCGTGAGTTAAAGTAGGAGCAGGTACTTCACATGACTGCAGCAGGAGCAAGAGAGTGGCGGGAGTACATTTTTAAACAACCAGATCCCATGAGAACTCACCAACACAAGAACAGCACCAAGGGGATAGCGCTAAACCATTCAGAAGTAACTGCCCCCATGATCCAGTCACCTCTCACCAGACTCCACCTCCAACACTGGGGATTACAGTTGGACATTTGGTGGGCAACATGGAGCCAAACCATATTACACCATTTCCTTCAGCCCTTTGAACATATTTATAATAGCAGCTTTGGGGTCTTTTTTTTTTTTTCTTTAAGTCTGGACCTACTCAGTGACAGTTTCTATTGACGGCTTTTTTTCCTGAGTATGGGTTACTCCTTCCTGTCTCTTAGAAACCTGGATATTTTAGATGTTCTGTTGCACTCCCTTTGATACCTGAATGCATTTCCTGCCTGAAGATTGTCATTGCTGCTTTTTGTTTGTTTAGTCACTTTTCTAGACTAAATTTGTGGAATATGTCTCCTCTGTGAAAACGATGTTTCTGCATGGTTTTAAAATTTTATTCTTCTGTTCATTTTCGATCTTGGCTTCCTAGATATCGACTTTGTGGCTGCAGAGCTTAGCGGCCTGCAAGAATTGGCACTTTAAGCTGTCTTCGGCACTTAAAGATCTGAGTCAGGAAGCCTTCCCACCTGTATGAATGGTGTGTGGGTTGGGAAGTACATTGAAAGTTCAGGTTGTTTTTAAGGATTTCAAGGCTTTTTACTTACCACTGAGCCATCTTATTTTTCCTCTGCCCTGATTGTAGCCTCTTTGTCGGGCAGGGATGTGTGGATAGCTTGCTCCCACCCACTTGCTGTCTTTCTTGGTTTGCCATGGCCTTCCAGTCAGCCAGAGTTGTGTGGAGGGCTTGTCAAGCCCCTCTCTGGCTGTCTAATTTTAAGAGCCTTCTTGCCAAATTTCTGGATCATCTGCCAGTCTTCTTGGTGTCAACCAAGATTGCAGCCTTAGACAGCAATTGCTGGCCACTCCTGTTCTCTCATGACCTAGATCATGACTTTTAACGATAGCTCTACTGAGCATTGGTTTCTCACCATCCACTCTAAATCAAGTGAGTCCCCTCTAGTAGCAGCAACCCTGACCATTTTATAACTTGCTCTACTATAAACACTGCATTAACCAAGCTAGTGGGGAGGGGGAGGAGGGTAAGAGCAACTCCAGCAATAATGTCACAGAATCTTACTGTTCTTACCTGAGGCCAGTGTTTTTCATAAATATATATTTCTCAATTTATTTTTATCGTTTTGGTTGATTTCTAGAACTTGTGAATACTTTTTGTCAGATAATGTGAAAATGAAAGTAAGAGTTTTGTATGAGTTTTCTACATTGCAATAGGATAGAGTCAATATGCCTTTCTGTAAAGGGTCACTTAGTATATATTTTAAGTTTTTGAGAACACATGCAATCTTTGTCATTTCTTCTTCTCCTCATCCTTTTTCTTCTCCTCCTCCTCCTACTTCTTTCTCCCCCCCACCCACCTCTCCTCTTCTGTCTCTCTCTTTTGAGTTCAACCCCTTTTTAAAAAGGTAAAAACCATTTTTATCTGGCAGGCCACACAGAAACAGGTGTCAGGCTAGATTCGGCCTGCCAGGTGAGTTTGCCAACTCTTGCAATAGAAAACACAATGCATAGGGCTGGGCACAGTGACTCCTGTCTGTAATTCCAGCACTTTGGGAGGCTGAGGCGGGTGGATCATCTGAGGTCAGGAGTTTGAGACCAGCCTGGCCAACATGATGAAACCCCTTCTCTATTAAAAATATAAAAATTAGCTGGGTGTGGTGGTGGGCATCTGTAATCCCAGCTACTCAGGAGGCTGAGGCAGGAGAACCGCTTGAACCCGGAAGGTGGAGGTTGCAGTGAGCCAGGATCACACCACTGCACTCCAGCCTGGGCGACAGCGAGACTCTGTTTCAAAAACAACAACATCAAAAGAAAATGTAATGCATGAAGTGAAAGGAAAAATAAATGTTGGGAAGGATGTCTAACTGGGAGAGAGCTTGTGATGTAAACATGGTATGAATGACCAATGGACGAGGCAAAATTGCCTACATGGCCCTACCTATGACCCCTCTGAAAATGTTCTTTCTTCAGCAGGATCAAAGCCGGAAATTCAACTTTGTCCCTCCTGCCCTCTGATGTTCTCCGGTCAGCAAGCTCTCAGCCAGCACGTGTGGCTGAGTCATCTCCCTCAGCTGTCTTCAAGTTCATGTGCAGGAAATCCTCTCCAGCAGGGAAAACACTGTCCAGATCAGAAACAGCAGCAAGATCTGTTCTGCTTGAGTGGCAAAGCAGAATGGATTCGAGGGAGAGAAGACTCCGAAGTCCAGTTTGGGAGAGTAAGCAAAAGTGGCACTTCAAAGGCACTCTCCAGCCCACCTGAAGAACAGCCAGCATGGTCCAAGGAAGATGACACAGTGCTGGATATAGGGCCCAGCCCTGAACAGAAGGCCAACCTTGAGGAAACAGACAAAGGATTACATGGCTTAGAAGTTTCAGGATTTGGAGAAATCAACTATGAAGAGTTTGGGCCAGGCTTTATCAAGGAGTCAAACCTCCTTAGCTTCCGGAAAACACAAACAGGGGAGACAGCTTACATGTACACTGAGTGGGGACAGAGCTTTGGTAGTATGTCAGTCCTCATCGGAAACCCAAGGACACACTCTGGGGGAAAGCCTCATGTGTGTGGGGAATGTGGGCAAGGCTTTACCTGGAAGTCAAACCTGATCACACATCAGAGGACACACTCAGGGGAGAAACCTTATGTGTGCAAGGACTGTGGACGAGGCTTTTCTTGGAAGTCGAACCTCTTCACACATCAGCGGACACACTCAGGGCTCAAGCCTTATGTGTGCAAGGAATGTGGCCAGAGCTTTAGCCTGAAGTCAAACCTCATCACCCACCAGAGAGCGCACACTGGGGAGAAGCCTTATGTTTGCAGGGAATGTGGGCGTCGCTTTCGCCAGCATTCACACCTCATCAGACACAGGAGGACGCATTCGGGAGAGAAGCCTTACATTTGCAGGGACTGTGAGCAAGGCTTTAGCCAGAAGTCACACCTCATCAGACACTTAAGGACATACACAGGAGAGAAGCCTTATGTATGCACAGAATGTGGGCGTCAATTTAGCTGGAAATCAAACCTTAAAACACACCAGAGGACCCACTCAGGGGTTAAACCTTATGTCTGTCTGGAGTGTGGGCAATGCTTTAGCCTGAAGTCAAACCTTAACAAACACCAGAGGTCACACACAGGGGAGAAGCCATTTGTATGTATGGAGTGTGGGCGAGGCTTTACGCGGAAGTCAACCCTCATCACACACCAGAGGACACACTCAGGGGAGAAGCCATTTGTATGCAAGGAGTGTGGACGAGGCTTTAATGATAAATCCACCCTCATCTCACACCAGCGGACACATTCAGGGGAAAAGCCTTTTATGTGCAGGGAGTGTGGTAGAAGGTTTCGGCAGAAGCCTAACCTATTCAGGCACAAGAGGGCACACTCAGGTGCCTTTCTGTGCAGGGAGTGTGGGCAAGCCTTTTGTGATAAGTTAACTCTCATTAAACACCATAGAGAACACTCAGGGGGGAAGCCTCATGTGTGCAGGGAGTGTGGGCAAGGCTTTAGCAGGCAGTCACACCTCATTAGACACCAGCGGACACATTCAGGAGAGAGGCCTTATATTTGCAGAAAGTGTGGGCGGGGCTTTAGTTGGAAGTCAAACCTAATCAGACATCAGAGGACACATTCAGGATAGAAACTTTATGTGTACAGGAATATGGTAAAGCCTTTAGCCAGGAGTCATACTTCATCAGAGACCAGAGGACACACAGCACTGTGGCTTTGTCAGTCATTGCTGGGATTGCAGGCGTGCACCACCATGCCTCACTAATTTTTGTATTTTTAGTAGAGACGGGGTTTCACCATATTGGCCAGGCTGATTTTGAACTCCTGACCTCGTGATCCACTCACCTCGACCTCCCAAAGTGTTGGGATTACAGGCGTGCACCACCATGCCCAGCCCGAAGTAATAAAATTTCTAAGAAAAGTTTCTGGGAGGAAAAACAAACTTGGAAAATGAATAAACTTATTTTCCAGCAAATTTTAAAAAGATCATATGCTGCTTATTTTCCTGTCATGTTTCAGCTCCAGCCATGCCATTCTCCATTCTGTGATGCTGGGGCTGGGACTCTGCTAAAGACATTTCCCAGATTCCTGTGCCTTAATGTCCATTTAAGAGAGACTAAAAGGCATAAATGGAGAGGACTTGGCATTTTATTTTCCAATTCTGTCAGTAGCTCTCTAGCAGTAGAGGGGAGCTGTGCCTTGCTTGCAAATTCCTTCCATTCTCCCAGCACTAGACTGCCAAAACCAGTTACTGCTGGGCTGAAACCCCTCCTGAGAGCTCTCAGGTAGTGGCAAATCCATCTCTTCCTCTTTGTTCTCTAAGCTCTAGAGTGTTAGCTGTTTCCTCAAGTTACAAATCTCTCCCTTGGTGCTCTTTCCGTCCTCCACATATGTAGTCAGTTTCCTGTAAGTAAATTCCCAGGTGGTTCTGCTGTCTTGACTAGATCACGATGAACAGAGCACCACCATTACTTGTTTTAGCAGTGCAGCCACATAGTTGGCATACTTTCAGGACCACTGCCCTAATCTGTGGAAATGACCAAACTCAAACTAGTGTTGGACTTGGTGATATGAGATAAGAAAAATAAAGGACAAACGGCCTGCCAATAATCAATTACTGACATATAAGGACGTAGTCATATATACCCAAAGTTTCTTTGAAATATACTTTCTTTGAAAGTATACCTAGTCAAGAATGGAGACTTGGCCAGGTCAGGTGGCTCCCACCTGTAATCCCAACATTTTGGGAGGCGGAGGCAGGAGGATGGCTTGACTTTAGGAGTTCAAGAGCAGCCTGGGCAACACAGTGAGACCTGGTCTCTACAAAAAATTTAAAAATTAGCCAGGTGTGGTGGATGCGTCTGTGGTACCAGCTACTTGGGTAGCTGAGGCGGGAGGACTGCTTGAGCCTAGGAAGTCAAGGCTGCAGTGAGCCAAAATGGCCCCACTGCACTCCTGGGTGACAGAGAAAGACCATGTCTCAATAAAAAGAATGGAGAATCTGCCAGGTGTGGTGGCTCATGCCTGTAATCCCAGCATTTTGGGAGGCCAAGGCGGGTGGATCACCTAAGGTCAGGAGTTCGAGATCAGCCTGACCAACATGGAGAAACCCCGTCTCTACTAAAAATACAAAATTAGCCAGGTATAGTGGCACACACCTGTAATCCCAGCTACTTGGGAGGCTGAGGCAGAATTGCTTGAACCCAGGAGGCAGAGGTTGCAGTGACCAGGACTGTGCCATTACACTCCAGCCTGGTCAACAAGAGTGAAACTTCGTCTCAAAAAAAAAAAAAAAAAGAAAAGAATGGCGAATCTTAAATATCAGCACCTAGGTATGAAACATCCAAGATAATCTCTAACTTTCCTGATAATTAAGTCCAGGGAAGAACTGTTTAATGTAATTGTCAAGTACCAAACCACAATTATCATCCAAAGAACACTGAACTTGTAAATTTCCCCATTAGAGCAACCTATTACATGTTTGTAGAGCCTTTTAAAAAATTGTCTGATTTCTTCTGAAAGTAATAAAGCCCAATTTGACAGAGTTAAACAGTAATCAGTTCTACCCACACTCCTTTTGTAGAAGATTCTCTGGCCTTAGCCATTAGAGGGCTCTCTGTGGCAGGGGATTGGAGGATGTATTCTCCAAGGATGCATTCTCAAGAACTTCCCCTTGCTTCCACATAAGAATCTTGACTTACTAGGATATTGACATGGGTGCACTTTTCAGTATTTCAGGGACTAAGGATGGGGAAGAATGCTGCTTTAGTCTGGATCTTTCACTCAGGGGCTCACATTCTTGTCCTGACTGTGGGCAGTTTTCTTAAAGTTGGGCCCTAAAGTTGTAGAGTGAAAAGGTGGAAACAACAGCAGGAGGAACGCCAGGGCTATCAGCTACCAAACTGCTTACGGTTTTGGTGCATCCTAATGAAATCTAATTACCCTTCTGTGACTGGCATCACATTAGGTGCAGGCAGAGATGGGATATACAAATGAGGATACCAGGCTGGGCATGGTGGCTCACCCTATGGTCCCCGCACTTTGGGAGGCCGAGGCGGGCGGACAGCTTGAGGCCAGGCGTTTCAGATCAGCCTGGTCAACATGGGGAAATACCTTCTCTACTAAAAATACAAAAATTAGCCGGGCATGGTGGCGAGCGCCTGTAGTCCCAGCTACGCGGGAGGCTGAGGCACTAGAATCGCTTGAACCCGGGAGACCGTGGTTGCAGTGAGCCGAGATCGCGTCACTGCACTCCAGTCTGGGCGACAGAATGAGACTCCGTCTCAAAAAAAAAAAAAAAAAAGATACCACAGACCCCGCCCACGGCAGGAGACGAGGTAGAGACCGGGAGACAGTCAGATACACACATAGGATCAGTGGTATCCTTACGGTAACAGAAACGGTCACCCCTCAATATCACCCACAGTATCTCTCACCTACAATCACGGGACGTGATGTAAAATACAGAAGCACCCTGCACTGACAGAATCCGTTGCACCTTTCGTGTGCAAGCACAAAGGTGTGCAGCAACAGTCACACGAACCGCCACACCGGAGCATTCTCTTGCGCGCAGCTTGGCCACTTTGCTCCACACAGCAGCTCACCGTCCCTCGAGCGCCCAGGAGCGCCCATAGCCCTCTCCCGTATCTGCGCTGCTGGCGCAGGCGCGCAGTGGAGGGGGCCGCGGGGTCCTCTGGGAGATGTAGTTCAGCGATGACGGCCGTGGCGCAAAGCGTTCTGGGGCTCGTGGTTCGCGGGGTCCGTGGGGAACTTGGTGTCGCTGGTTCAGATCTCGCAGAGCTCAGAGTCCTGCACGCCTGTCCTCGTCTCGCTCCTCCTTGCGGAGAATTCTGGGAGGTGACGTCGCGGGTCTTGGTCGCGGGGCCCGTTTGCAGAGCCCGCGGCGCCGGGAGGTGAGTGGGGCCGGGCCCCGGGCGAGAACGGGAGGTCAAGGGCGGGCTCCGGCCGCGCCAGGGATGGGAACCCGGCAGACGCAGCTGGGGAGGCCGTATTTCACTGTGTTACTGTGTATAACTATGTGACACCTTGTGGGTGTGACAGAATGTGATCTTGTGTTACTGTGTGTGTGCGCGAGTGCGCGCGCGCCCGCTAGTGTGTGACTGTAAGCATCTGGGTCTAGGGGTGAAACTGTGAATATGTTTGTGCGTGACTACCTTTGCAGGTGTAGCTGTGTATGAGTTTGTGAGAGACTGGGGTGTGACATTATGTGTCTGTGTGAATGCATGTGTGTGGTTATGTGACCACCTGTTTCTGCAGATACAACTGCGTTTGAATGTGTGTGACAGCAAGTGTGATTGTGCAACTATGACCATCTGTCCCTGCAGGTATAGCTTTGTATGGGTAATTGTGACAAGATGTGTGGCTTGTGTGATATGCTACTGTGTGTGTGATTGCGTGTGATTGTTTATCTCTGTTGGTGGAATTGTGTGTGACCATCTATCTTCGTGCTTATGTGGCTGGCTGTGTATTATGTGAGATTATGGGTGTGTTTGTGCGACTGTGAATCTGCTTGTGATTGGGTGAGAATTTGTGTGTGTATATGAGATTGTGGGATTGATGTATGAAACACAGAAATATTAAAATTGCCCAAGTTCACACAGTTAACAAGTGACAGCACCAGAACTCAAACCCAAGCAGTTCAGTTCTAGAGGTCTCACTTTTTTTTTTCCCCGGAGATAGGGTCTCACTCTGTCAAACAGGCTGGAATGCAGTGGTGTGATTGTAGCTCACTGCAGCCTTGACCTCTTGGGCTCAAGCAACCACCTGCCTCAACCTCCCAAGTAACTGGGACCATAGGCGTGTGCCACCGTGCCTGCCTAATTGTTTTTATTTTTATTTTTTGTAGCGACTTCGTGCCATGTTGCCCAGGCTGGTCTGAAACTTGGGCTCAAGCAGTCCTCCCACCTTGGCCTCCCAAAGTGTTGAGGTTATAGGCCTGAGCCACTGTGTCCAGCTGTGTCCAGCCAAGTTCTTGCTTTTAATTACTAAACTCACTTGTTCTTTCCCACATTGAGAGGGTGAAAAATGGTTGCCCTGGGTTTTGAGGAGTTTGGAAAAGATGTTCCGGTCTTGGAATAGGAACTTGCAGAACATGGGAACTTAACATGGTTTCTTCCTTCGGTTCCCTTGTGAGTGACAGGCCTCAGTCTAAAAACATTGTAGTGAGGCCATCCTCAAATTAGCTGCTTCTGGGGGAGAGAAGCCCAACCTGAAAGCCCAGTCTTCCTCTCCTTAGGTTATTGAGTTTGAGATTTTAGCTTTATCCTTGTCAAAACTCTTCCATGTTTGGTGCTGAGAGTCTGGACCCATGGCTGTTTTTCTGATGTGCCAGGTGTGCTGAGTTTTTTATTTTGACCTTCTCAGTTGATAAATAAAAATATTCTCAGCCAGGCACAGTGGCTCACGCCTGGAATCCCAGCACTTTGGGAGGCTGAGGCAGGTGGATCACCTGGGTCAGAAGTTCGAGACCAGCCTGGCCAACATGGTGAAACCCCATCTCTACTAAAAATACAAAAATTAGCTGGGTGTGGTGGCACATGCCTGTAATCCCAGCTATGTGGGAGGCTGAGGCAAGAGAATCGCATGAACCTGGGAGGCAGAGGTTGCAGTGAGCTGAGATTACGCCATTGCACACCAGCCTGGGGGACAAGAGTGAGACTTTATCTCAA